AAATGACCTGCAACTACTCCAATTAGGAGGTTTCTTGGGTTAGAAATCTGTGACCTACAATGAGTTGTCATAGAAACTGATATGAACGTTTCAGCTCAAAAATCACTTTAAAATAATGGGTTAGTTCATCATCTCGTGCCAGGTGACATAGCTCCTTTGAATCCAAGATCTGGAGTCTGTCCTTACACCAAAAATCTTCTGCCAGCCCCAGGTGACAGGGAGAGAGAGTTTTGCTTCTCTTTTTTATGTATGCTGCAATTGCCTGCAGTACAGTACAGGGCTATTCCCAAAGCAGGAGGATGGGCTAGAAAGGCAAGGGAGAGAGCTGGAGGAGCTCTCTGAATAGCATCCCTGGGAGCGACTGGAAAGCAAGCGTGGCCTGGGTGTAAGTGGGAGCCTGGAACACCGTAACACATACGTGTGCCTTTCATTTTCTATGCACCACCTCCAAGAGCTGTGCCCATTTCCGTGGGGCAGTTTTTTCAGACCCCTTTCTGTATCCATCTTGTGCTGCAAGGGAATTGTAAAGCCTTTGTTGTAGTCTATAAAAGAGGGACATGGTGGAGAGTCTGACAGTGTGTGCTTCCCCTGTCATGGCTTGTTTAATGGCTCCCTTTCACTCATGCTCTTCTTTCAAAAGCCTGCCGTAGCCTAGCGCTGACTTCTTGTTCCGTTGTCTTGGTTGAGGAGCTCTGGGAGTCTGTGGCCATCCTGGATCAGGGCTGCGCTGCTTCCTTCTGCAGTGCTGCATTTCTCTTTCATATTCTTTCCCAGCATATGCAGGGCTCAATAGGAGAGTTTGCCATGTTTGTCAATAAAGCTGCTTGCTTCTCTTCTGATTTTCCAGCCATGTGATGAAGCCCCTACAGCTTTAGAGCCTTTAGAACAACAAAAGGGTAACGAGTCCTCTGTTCACCTGCAGAGAGAGGAGTTGATGCGGTCATATAAGACATGGAGAGCCAGAGAGATCAGCTGGAATGGGACCAAATTAAATGCATTTACTCTGCAATGTTCCATTAATGCCAAGTAATTACCATGTACAGTGGGATTTTTCTTTTGTTTTGTTTTGTTTCATTTTGGCACAAGAGAGTTCTTTCCAAATATGAATGCATGAGGCTGTCCGGGCTCTGGGCTCTTAGGTAAATTATAACAAACCTTCCTCATTCCCATATGTTCCTTTCCCTTCCTTCTGGCATTTGTAAAGCTGGCAATATGAAGATGGAAAATGCAAATGCAAAGAGGAAGTCTCATTCCCAGTGGCAATGGTGCTGGTTCTGCCACGCTGGTGCAGACTCCTGGCCTGACTTCTGTCCCCAGGATGATGCCTCAGCAAATTTAAAGTGGTCTAAAGATGGACAGCAGAGAAATGTTCCAGATAGAAGAAAATTTTCATTGGGGAGTAAAATTCTCCTGTGGTTGAATGTGGAAGCATTGCCTGGTCCCACTGGTACCCTGATCTCTGAGAGGAGTGCTGCCACGATACAAAAAAAGTACTCGGGCTGCCATGAAATTCCTGTGCTAACCATCCATACTGGGCACTAGGGACTGTGCTGAAAGAAGAATGGAGAAGGGTCAGAGAGATGCAACACTGGACAGTTCTTGTATCGTAGGGCCCAGTCAACGATAAACGTAACGATTCACGACAGAGTCCACCCTTCTGTCTGATCAGTGGGTTATAGTGAAGAGCTGATAATTTTTTTTGGTTTTATTTTGCTGAATGTCTGAAGAAAAAAAAAATGCTTTAAGGTCTGTTGCCACTCCAGATTTCCTTTCACACATACTATCCCAGTCGCACAAATCCCCAAGTCCCAACTTTAGGCTTTCAAAATGCTCTCTGAGGGGTGGGTCAGGACCTCTGCCTAAACACCATGATCAGCTCACGTAGGCTGATCACTCATGGGAAAGCATTGCACAGCACAGTGAGGTGAACCTTACCCCATGTTTGGAATGTGGATGGTGGCACCCCTTTTTTCCTCTCACAGTGGCTCTCCAAAAAAGAAACTGAATGTATTTGACACTTTATAGGATCCTCATTTTTGCACTTGATCCTCCCTAAAAACTGGCCTAAACCTGTCTGTGTGGTGGATCCCGGCTGATGGGAAGACAAGATGCAATGGGGAGAAGAAGACTCCTTTCCACCAGTGAATACTGCACTCATTTTCAAAGGTACCATCCCTTCCCTTTCACCGCCTCTCAGTGGTGTGGAAGTGGAGCTGGTTCGAGGTTCACATACGTTCTGCTCCAGCCAGGGCCTGTGGCAGGTCTGCTAGGGCTCAAAGGCATGGAAGGGCAGCATTTTTGCATTTCCTTTAGCTGCACTGTTTTCCTGAAATAGCGTAAGGTGTTTTCTAGTGACCATGCATCCAGGCTGGAGAAATGCTGGTGGATGTCCTGTGCTTAGGTCGTACTCTGCCTTGATCATGCTGTCAAGTTGTCTTTCTTCTTTCTAAAAAGAACTACACAATTTTAAGATAAGGAAAGAATTTCAACTTCTGGGTCAGAAGGCACATGTCAGCAGGATGCCTGCAGTAGACTGAACATGTATGAATGACATCAGCCAGTGCACAAGCAGTGTAACAGGCCCAAGGCAGCAGCACCCTCAGCTTCTACACCATGGATCTGTTCAGCAGCCAGCCAGGAGCAGTCGCCAAGACTGAAGAACAACCATTGCCACTGAAAAAACACGCTCAGCAGCAGGACACGCACTCAGCCTGAGCTGTGGGGAGGTTTCTTGTTTCATAGCATCAAACAAACACCACTCACTTTACAGGGAGCTGTTACTTGCCATCAAGCCCTAGTCCTCAGATAGGAGAACTTCAATGCATCTCCCCCATCAGATGAGGTCTTCCCAGCACGCTGTTAATGAAACCAGTTGTAAGGTGAGAACTGTCCTGGATGTCTGCTGGAGGAAAGATTAAATCCCATACTAGTGACTCATTAGTGTCAAGCTTTCCTAGCTTGCCTTAGGACTGTGGGCTCTTCACTCCATTTTGCTGCTGGGGCTGGAGCATGTTGAGATTTTGTGAATGTTGATGATCTTGCCTTTGTCCAGGGCTGCTGTCCTTGATGATGGCATTCAGGGGTTCCTTTCCTGGCCAGTAACTGGTCATTCACTGCCTCTGGAACGTTTCCTTGTCACTCATCTGCTTTTTTGTCAAGCAGGTATGACTGTCTTAATAGTTATTATATGACTAATAAGTCTTCTGTCTCTTGTCACCTTGAAACTTTGATTTCTGTGAGAAAGATAGATTTGATAAAGCACTTTTTGCTTCATCAGATGAAAATATGCACAAATCTGAATCATGCTGCTGTGTTATCTACCAGGTTACTTGCCCATGGTTAACAAGGCCACTTTAATAGGCTGGGTTCAGCATGTTTATGCAAGATTGGAGACCAAATTTCATGCTCTTTAAAAAGTGAGGGGGAAGGAATCATAGGACTCAGTGATAAAGTAAATGGCCACTACCTGCTGCGATTGTGCAGTTTTGCTGGAAGTCTCCTTTGAAAATATCTGTTACACTCCCCAGGTGTCTTATTACAGTGTGCTCTGGTTTTGCATAGAATTGACCTGCATTATTTACAAGCTGTCTCTAACTGATCATTCCAGACTTCAGATCAGAGGAGATCATTTCCAAGACATTGTCATGCCTCTCATGTTTCCCTGAGAGGGTAGAGACTGTCCTTCTCTACAGTGATGTGGAGGTGGAATTACACTTGCGTGCATGAGGAGTGCTAGAGGAATGACTTAAAAAGTGAAGTGAAAATGGCATGAAGGTAGGGCTGCCTTCCATCATGGGTGTCACTGGACTAGACTATCCTGACACTGGTTCTTTTGCTGAGTTCAGGTTCTGATCAGGGTAACTGGTCTTAGTGAATCGTTGCTGCAAATGACTGTTGTTTGCCTGACACTTGCACCTGTTGGCTGGCTGTTTCCCAGACGTTTGTGTTCTGACTGGCCACTGAAGCTGCCTGTTCTGCCTGCAGGGTTTGCTCCTGTTTGAACCTTTTATTAGCAAAAAATCAAAGACTCATTTTGCCTACTCATAAGTAAAAATAAGAAAAGAGCTTCTTCTTTAGTCTGCCTAAAGTGCTTCTCTCATCTCTGTGACTCTTCAAGAGTTGCAAATAAAAAGGAAAAAAAGCAAAGTCATCACATTTTTTGGGGCAAAATTTTTGTCTTTGGATATAAAACAAGTAAATGTAACAGTTGTACTAAAGTACCTGAGTACTAAGAAGCAGGTATGGGTGCACAGTGGTGTTGGCTGTAAGTAATGGAGATTAATAAATTATGATACCTTTGATTTATAGCAGGAGTTGTCATTCTGAAGATCATGTCTGCCTGCCTCTTCTGTTGTTGCCAAATAAAAGAGAATCTAGATCTGATGGAGAGAAGGGAATCCTCTCTCTTCCTTCCCACTGCTGGCACCCTCAGTTATGAGCAGTGCTGGGCTGTAGGGATTTCTCCATGAGAGCTAATTATCAAAAACTATTTCAAAGCCATATGCCTATGTAAACAACTCCTAATAAGGTTTTTTTGCAGTAGTATGTACACCATGGATGTTTTTTTCTCTAGATATCACTCATTTTGTTTCCTGTTGTTGACAAGAATATATTGATGGTGTTGCCTTCTGTGTTAAGGAGCTGGCATGTGATGGAGTATATCAGCCCTATATCCAAGTTGAAATTCTCCTCATACCTATTTTCCTCAATCTCTTCCTCAGATTGTGCTGGTACCACTGAAAGTTGAAGATGTTCTTTTCCCATCAGGGCACTGCAGGCTCAAGCCTTGCATCCATCACGAGCAGGCATCTGGGACACGTTTTAGAGTATTGCAAAGATTAGATCTTGGATATGTCTGTTCTCCTGCCTGGGACAGGAAAAAAAAAAATGAAATCAATTAAAATATAATAGGTTGGATGCTATGTTGGATAAAGAACAAGTTTTGGAGTGGGAAAGCTGTCATGGATAATTTAACTCACATTTTGATCCTCTCTTTACAGCCACAGGGACTTAAAACCAGAAAACCTACTGCTGGACGAAAAGAACAACATCCGGATAGCAGACTTCGGGATGGCCTCGCTGCAGGTTGGGGACAGCTTGTTAGAAACCAGTTGTGGGTGAGTGTCTCAGAATATACTGCAAAAGTCAGGGATGGATTCCAGATGTGAAAGTTGTCCTTAGTAAGGGTTTCAATAAAGATCTCCAGACTTACACTGTGCATTATTTCCCAGCAAGATAATAAATTGGTATAATGCACATAGTGTATAAGATAGCTAGAAGAAGGGGGTTTAAGTGCTTTGCAGTGAAAAGGAGGCCTCTGTAGGTGTCACATATGGATATAAAAATCGAGGCTTTCAGGTGCGAATTCTTTTGCATATGCTGGTGTGTGTTTGCTGTCACTGGCCCTATAATATTTGGGAACTGAAAGCGGTAGTGTTGCCTGTTGTAAGAAGAGGCTTTAAAAATGTTAGAGGGTGAAAAAACATGGATCTAGAAGTTCTGAAGTGGAATTTTCATGTCCTGGTTAGGCTGCCTGCTTTGCAGCTTTCCTGTTCATGCTCCACACGGCTTTGTTTTGGCTCAGGTGGGGGATTGACAGGGAGGCAGCAGGGTCCTTTGCAATTACAAGCAGGGCACAAGTGCAGATACAAAGGAGACTGCTTGCAGGAATATTGCAGGGACAATCTAAAAACATTTCCGTGGCAATTCAGTTGCCAGCAAGAGCTTTCTAGGAATTTCCAGGGGAGCCAGCAGTCAGCCCACGAGCGGAGCAAAGCCCAGGAGCCTGGCGGGGGACGGGTCGTGGTCCCCGGGGCAGTGCCCTCTCATCGCCATCATCCCTAGGGGCATCCCCAGCCTGTGCCCCCCACCAGCCCGTGCCCCCCACGCCCCGGAGCCACAGCTTGGTGCCGTGTTGCCTGTGTGGGGGCTGCCGCAGCGAGCTGTGGCGAGGGCAGCAGCTGCATCGAGCTGCTGCAGCCTGGCACCGCACCGCCAGCTTTTAGCTGTGTCTGAATTTGTTACAACAGCGAGCTCAGCATCTGGAGTTGCAGACAATACCAGCAGATTTCCACCTCCTCTCCTACAAACCTACTCTTCCTGGCCTTTGGTAGTGTGAATCTGATGACTCCAGCCCAGCGCCGTCCTCAGCTGGTTGCAGTCCATGTTTCATCCGTCTGCTCTGAGCCGAGGCAGTTCAGGGTAGGTGTGGAGCCGTCGTGGTTCCCTGTACAGCCCAGCCAGTGCCTCTCAGTCCTGAGCTGTACTGCTCTGCTTTCCAAGTCATGAATAATGGATAGCAAAATTATTTGAAGTTCATGATGTGATTGAATGCTGGTTGATGAGTACACTGAGACCCATCCGTTCCTTCGGGTCCGTGTCAAGGTTTGACCTCTTAACTGCACAGATGAAAAGCAAGGAGCTATGAGTCTGCACATCTGTTGCTCACAGCTGCTTTCAAACCTCCCCTCTAGATTAGGAAATGAAGTCCTCCCTGCAGTTACCACAAAGCTTCTATACTCTTTAGATAAAATTTTCCCCCTTCCTTCCATGAAAAAAACAAGAAGAAGTACAAAAACCAACCCAGTCTCACAGTGCCCTGTAGGATTTTTCAAACTCCCTGGGATCTTCTCAGTAGGGTTCCTGTTCTTGTTAGCACTGGGCTCTGTCATCCAGGTCTAAAGTCTCAAAGGGAGACTTCCTTTCCATAAGCTGTGCTGGAATTCAAACCTCTGTGCTTCAGGCAGAGCCAGCCCCCACATCGCGGCCTTAAAATGCACTAATAAAGAAATCAATGGAACGGAAGAGATGTGCCTGTAATAAACAGAACACAGCAGCAACGCTATGATCTCCTGCTTTGCAGATGCATTTTAAGCGTGGTGCCAATCACTAGGCCTCCGTGTGAGCTATTACACCACTTCATTAATTCTCCTGGCATGGAGCCCAGCGTGGCTGATATTGGTGTCTTGTGATCTTTCTGGTTTGGGGGGTGAAGGGAGGAAGGAAGGAAGGAAGGAATATGTAACAATATGCCACTCTGTTCACAAAGAAAGGCAATGCAGTTATGACTCCTTTTCCCTTGGAGCACACACAGTAACCAACCTCAGAGCTTTTCAAGGCAACAGTTTTACCTACCCTTGTAGTTGGTACTTTCAGCTGGCATGAAAAGGAACAAAACAGAGTGAATCATGGCTGAGATACTGAGCTTTAATGAGATGCTCCTCCGTGCACCCAGAAGTTAATTTCCAGAATGGATTTATCTGTGCTGTGAACACTGATAATGAGATGAAACTGTAACATTTCCATCGACAGTCACGCAAGGAGTCTCCAGGTATTTCTGTCAGTCAGAGTGGGAGGATCAGATGGGGTTGAGCTGTGTGATGCAGCTAACTTTGTCAGTACAGCAGAGCGGTTAGAGTGCAGTCAGAAATTCTTTGCTGTCACAAAGGAACTGCTAAGTTTAGTCCAAAGTTTGGGTAGGCTTTAGGACACCACAGAGCCTTGACTGCCCTCAGGAAGATAATCACGTGGCCTGAAGCGTGCTGTGTCGCACACCTCGGGTACAGTGCTTTCTGGGAGCTGCTCCTTAGATCTGCACGGTTTCCCGTAGCACTGGTTGCTCCCTGGAGAAAACAAGGAAAGTTCAGTCCAGCTGTGTTTGTGTAGGAGAGGGAGGTAAGGATGGACTTGCTGTTTCATTGACATAATTTGTAACTGGCAGCCTGCACTTTGATTGTAACGAATCCCCATTACTGGAAATGTGTATTGCACAAATCCTGCATATACACAGCACTGAGGAATAAGCCATGGTTTTAAACGTGTCTTTAGACCCTTGAGAGGAAGAGGAACTGTGTGTAGGGTCTGTGAGAATAATTCTGCTTACTGCAGAAATTGCACAGCGAGGCAGTCTCAGGGAGAGACAGTCCATGAAATGCCAAAGTAACACACTGAGTCTCTGCATTCCTCCAGGAGCAGGGGAGGTCTGTGAGCAAACAGCACACAAGGAAGGAGGCAGAAGATATGGTAGTACACTGCTTCTGTTATTTTAGACTTCTTCGGCTCTTCCTCCTCTTTACCCACCCAGGCAGTAGCATGCAGAGACAGTCCCCTGTCTCTTTTCACAGTGATTCTTCCCAGCATGCTGCCTCACAGTGTTTCAGAATGGTAGACATTGCCCAATCCATCCTGAATTGTCACTAGGCAAGAAGAGTGAGTGCCTCATGGTTAAACCTCAGGGCTGAGACCCAGGTGATCTGAGCTTGATTTCTGTCTCTGCTGAAGGCATTCGGGGTGGTCTTAGACAAGATGCATTACCTTTCTCTACTTCAGTTCTCCATCTTAGCAAGCCATTGCAGTGCCCAAGTTGCTCTGAACATAAATTGCAGTAATTTCTGTGGGAGTCTTAGAAAAGTAGGAAGGGTCGGGGCATTCCCTGGGCCTTGTTCCCTTTTCTTGAACTAAAAGGGCTTATGGCTAAAATGAAGGATTGAAAGAGGATCCTGCGGAGTCACAATTATCCGGAGGTTGTAAAGATCCTTCCTAATTCCCCATTGCTCCTTACCGAAACCTGGCAACGTGCATTTTTGCCATCTCTTCACTTCTCTTTTTCACTTGTCACAGCTTCAAAACACTGAGTCCTACTGGATGGAGATTGCTGCAAGCTGCCGGGTGACTGAAAACCCAGAGCAGTGCTAGTCTCTGTGCTGCCTGCCTCCAGATCTCTCTGTCCCAACCAAGAGCTAGGACGGAGCTGACACGTAAATGTATCTCGCTCCAGCACCAGAGCTGATCTCTACAGAGGCAGCCGGTGCGGAGACTGACTCCCCTGCTGACAGCCCCACAGTTAACTGACTGTATGCAACAGTTCCCCCATATTGGTGTCTCCAGAGGGAACCCCTGGCCTGATCCAGAAAGGTGTGTGTGTGTGGAAAGAGCGATGCTGATTATGATTTTATTGAGAGAGGGAAGAAAGCCTCGTTCCTGTCGGTAGCATAATGAAGGAAACCAGCAACTTCCAGCCCCAGCGCAGTCAATTCCTCTGCTCTCGGCTCTCCCTAGGAATTTCTGGCAGCACTTTGCACATCTACAGATTGCCTGGACCTGTCAAAAAAAAAAAGCAAAGCACATATTCTCATTAGGAGTGATTATTGGCTCTTTTTGAGGTCAGGGTATTTATAACAACCAATGCACTGTGTGTTTGGTAGAAATGGAAATGCTAGCAGATACCATCTAGCTCCTGATTCCCTTACATCTGTATTTGGTGTATCACCACACCTGTGATGAGCTGATAATACAGAAGAGCAATGTTCAGTTGCCACACACCTCAGTGCCCAAGCAACATTTTGGATTTTAATGACAAGACGTGATGCTTCACATAGTCTTTCCCCTTTATAAAAAAAGTGTGCATATTGCCTAAAACATATGCAAGTGTCCTACATCCAGTTATTGTCAGGGTTGCAAACTTAGGCTCTTAAAACTGGAAATGCCAGAATCAGTACTTTTTACCCTCTCTCATCAAGAGCTTCCATTCCCAGCAGTTCCCATCTCCTTCCCTGATTTGCACTATAGTCTTGCTGACTTCTCCCAGTCGTTTCTGCTCCATATTTGGCCCCAAATCCTAGATCCTTTTCTTTTTTCCACTAGGTTGCAGCGCTAGTTACCCCTGCCTGGTTGTCCCAGTTAGTTGCTGTCAGTCCTAGATCTGTTTCCCATTGGTTTTGCACTCACTTTGTTTTAAATTTTGGTACCTTATGATAACCCCAACCATAGCAGCTCATAGTATCAGTTTCAAGTAGAAAAATTGTTCTGTGAAGTGTTACCAGTGCAGGTAGAATTTTGATCCTGATGCTCTAGAGTTTTTGCTAGTAACTGCAAGCTGCAGTTTTCTAGTGTCAGAGTAAATTTTTCTAGACAATGCAAACAAATATTGAAGTTTTCCCTTTGCAGCTGAAGATACTAGAAATTTTCCTTTTTTAGGGGAAAAAAACATTTAATTTAGATTAGACTTAGATAGTGGAAATGGTTTGGCCCATACACAACATGCATGCACACACAAACATGAAGGCAGTCTGAGGCAGACAAAAAGCAAGGAAAATTGTCGTTAAGTTGTTAAATTGAT